TACAATTCATTTATACACTTTTATTTTACATTATATACACGTTATTATACAACTTAGACTTAGTAAGCTTTTAATTATTATTTACAGAACCACCATCGTATTTTGTGCTACTATTCTTGCAACCGGCAATGGTCAATATATTGAACGCATCGACAAGAGCCCTGGTATACTCTTCGACCCTGTTGGTACATTGAGGATAATTAATGATCAATTTCACGTCGTTATCCCGGTAGACGTACATCCAATCCGACACCATTTGGAAAACATTCATGAAGTATTTAAAATAATCCAATTCCAGTGTCATGAGAGTGCCGACATAGAGTACACTCAGCGTAAAAATATGTTACAACCACTAGAAGCACTTTACAACGACATCTTAAGAGATTTTAATTCGATTTCCCATATTATCTTAAACGGTATGTCCAAGAGATCTGCATGGTTCTCAGGTATCGGCACGGTATTTAAACATATTTTCGGTACACTGGATGAAGATGACGCTGAAAACTACAACAAAGCTATTCATGCCCTATTTAATAACGAAAATAAATTAGCAGAATCTATCAAAAGGCATATTTTAGTTTCTAAATCCGCTATTGCTAATGTTAATAAATCCCTGGAGGAATTAAAAGAAAATCAAATAAAGCTAAATAGCGTCATTGAAATTTTATCTTCTACTGTTAAAAATGCATCTGAAATGTTAAATATACTAAGTTTCCAAACGAAACTATCCAATGTTTTAAATACTTTGCTATCTAATTTACTTACAATGTCCTTCAAAGTTGAAGATTTATTAAACTCAATTTTATTTGTAAAAACCAACACCTTACATCCATCTATATTAAGCCCAACTTAAATGTATAATGATATAATTAGTAACCTAAGAATTATGCCAAAATACAAAGATTTTCCAATATCTCTAGAGTTAAGCAACATTCATACTTTAATTAACATTGCCGATTTAGTATGTTATTATCTAGACAATAAGCTTATTTTTATCATAAAATTACCTTTAGTTAGTTTATTAGAATATAATATATATAAGAACTTACCTTTGCCAACTCCACATGCTCAAGATAGAGCAAACTCTTTTGCCATGATCATCCCTTCTGGAAAGTTTGTAGCGCTAAGTAAAGATAAAACAAGTTATGTTTATCTACAAGACATAAATAATTGTAAAAGTGTCCCTACAAATACCTACCTTTGTGATGTTATAGATGTAGCTACAGTATCCAATAATTTACCCTGTGAAATAGAAATTATGACGAAAGCCTTGACATCAATCCCAGATAACTGTCCATTTAAACTAATTTCTGGTGATCTGGACATATGGCATAAGTTAAACAATAACAAATGGATTTTTGTTCAAACCAAACCCACTAAGTTATCAGTGGAGTGTAGTAATAATTTAACCGAATACACTCTATCCGGTACAGGCTTACTCACCATTCCACCTGATTGCGTAGCTTTCCATAAGAATCTGAAATTAGAAACTAAGCTCTATCCTAGTATAAATGTTCCCGGAATATATTCGGATTTTAATATAATTAATGATAGTTGTTGTAAGTTAAGTAACTTTAACAAATTTTCAGTTAACCTTACGTCTTCTATAAATGTAAAAACTTTGAATTTAGAAAATTTAAAATCTTATGACACTGATTCCGATCAAATTATCAAACGACTAGACACCCTAGAAAATCCAAATTTGTATAATGTTAGTTTCTCTATAATAAGTCTTATATCTGTAACACTTTGTATTTCTATTATAACTTATATAATTTGTAAGAGAGGAAAGTCTTTCAGAGAGCATTTTAATTTTAACAGAGAAAATACAGAAAATCATCATCACGCTAATCAACCACAGCTACGAATAGAGTAGCCGTAAACTCACTCAAGGGTGAGTTTCCTCTTAACGGGGGGGGGGGTTGTTATAGATCCCCTTTTACTAGGGATCCGCTGACACAAAGCACACAGTCAGCACTCTCTTAGTAGCTTCAGTACTTTCTTATTACAATACTAGCAAGACCAGTCAGTCCATCATACACTCTCATCCGAAACACTCGCCTCTCAAAATTCAATTCTTATTTTGTGTCTTTCTATAATTAAATCCAGTGCAATTTCTAAATAGTTTTTTTTAAAAGACATTTCGTGAAGCCCCGTATAACAGAACGTACCCGAAGTTTATTGGTTTCCGTGCGGTAGCGGTCGTAAGTTTTAAGCGCGGAATTCTTCGCTCTAATCAGCCGTTGAATATCCGCCGGAAGTTTCGTGTATTGATCGCTCGATACACGAACCTTACGGGAGCATTCTTCGACCGCTGATGTGAGGTGAGTCGAAAGGGCACTAATCGCGCTATCGGCTTCCTCTAGCGAGTCTATCTTGTCAGATATAGTGTCCAAATGCTGGGAGTTCGTAGACTTAAGTTTGACCTCAAGTTTACGCCAGTCGACAATAGTTTTGGTCTGAGGGACCTCACCTGCCGGCCGGCCCAGTTGTAAAATGACCGGCCTGTGGTCTGAGACTAGCTCGATAATAGTCTCTATCGAAATAACAGTAAGTCGGATGTCTTTTAGTAGTGCTATATCAAGGACGTCCGGGTGTTGGTTGTTTGCAAAAGGATAGCGTGTTGGACTCTCGGGAGCGATAACATCGAAGTTAAGTCTCTCTGTGAGGTCTCTTAGAATAATTCCATTAGGATTGTTAACGTTAGAATTCCAGCTAACGTGTTTACTATTTAGGTCTCCTGCGATTAAAATACGGATTTTATCGCGTTTATTTCACTACTTTTACTTATTTTTAATTCCCGACGTTTCGGGTGCTTTCCAGCAACCATGGTCACGGGGGGGACTGTGATGTTTGACGTCCCAATGTCATAGTTAGTCCGGCTACCTTCAGTTTTTGAATATTATTGAAATATTATTGAATATATTATTGAATATTAAAAACTGAAGGTAGCCGGACTAACTATGACATTGGGACGTCAAACATCTCAGTCCCCCCCGTGACCATGGTTGCTGTAAAGCACCCGAAACGTCGGGAATTAAAAATAAGTAAAAGTAGTGAAATAAGCGCGATAAAATCCGTAAATTTAGTTTTATTCAATGTGTAGTGTTCGCGTAAATTTAAGAAATCATTATGTATAATTGGCTATTTTGGGATCGCTCAAACTAGGTTTCAAAAAGGTCTCTTGCACTAGCATGCTGTCGATATCATGGTTGCGTAAAAAATATATGATCTCTTCCTTTTGATCTCTGACACCGTTTGCATTAAAGTACGCGACAGTCAGAGACCTAGGCTTAGTTCTACCTATAGGTCTTATTTCCATTTTAGTTATAAAAGAAAAGAGTCGCTTAGGCGCACTGGAACGAACCTATCACTTGGATAAGACTAAGATGTTCAATGGTAGCATTCAGCCTATCTTGAATTGATTTAGCTTCGCGAAGTTTGCGGGCTAGGGTTGTGACTTCGGCCACATTAAAGCTGCTGGCGAAGTTGAACACTAACGAAAGGTCAGTGACGATGTTTGACGGTGCCTGAGGGGTGGTTTTTTTTTTTTTTTTTTTTTTTTTTTTTTTCTTCTGTTCTACTGCTGCTATACATGCAGCACCCTTGGTTACTTTTTTTTACCTGTTCATTTAACCTCTTTTTTTTTTTTTTTTTTTTCCTATCTTATTGCTACTTTACAAAGATTACTATAAGCTTGTGTCTTACAAAATTTGTTTATACTATTTCGAATGCTTACAAAGATACATTTACCTGTTTCACTATAAATACTAAATTTTCTTATCAATATTACAAACTTATTTTCGCAAAATATTTTTGTTATTATTTTCCTGTGCTATCAATTATTCGTTTTTTTTTTTAGTCTTATCACAAATTTACTTTAAGCTACTTTTGCGTTAAATTCCGTTACAAACAACCTTTTTTTTTGCAGTTATTTACAGTTATTTCTAACTTTATACATATAATAATTACTAAATAAACTTGTTGTTATATTATTATTTTACTTATATATATATATATATATATATATATATATATATATATATATACTTACAAAGATAATTATAATATAAAGTTACTATTATACTATCATAGTTACCTTGTACAATTTTAATGCAATTGTCCATTGCTTTAATTTTATATACTTTTAACTTATAAAACTATGCTATTTTGGACCCATTTTCTTTTCCTGCGGTATGAACGACTATTTCTGCATATTTTAGGAAATGGGTCCGACAGTCATCGTTGTTAATAACGTATTTTAGGGTAGTATCATTTATTGCAATTCCCATCTTCTGCTCGCATTCCAATCTTTTCAAAGCGAATCTCGGGCAATCTATTAACAGATGTAAAATTGTTTCGTCTATTTCACTGCTGCATGCACAAGATGGGGACTGCGTTAATTTGTATTTGAATAAATACGCCTTAAAACCTCCATGACCTGTTAACAATTGCGTCTTAACGTTATCTAATTTAATATTTTTAAGTGTACTGTGTGCTTGTCTTATGTCCGGAAAGAATATCTTCGTGACTGCTCCTGTTGTAGCTTCATTGTATCGTTGTTGCCACCTCATGCAGGTAGAGTCCCTGATGAGTCGCTTCGCGAAGGACAGGGGGCACTTATCATAAGCTGCAGCTTGTTTGTTTGACAGTGCTGCCTTCTTTGCAAGTTCATCAGCTCTTTCGTTGCCGGGTATACCAATATGCGCTTTGACCCAGTACAACTCAACGTCACCGTCTTTATTTTTTAATTCTCTTAAGCGTTCTCGTATTTCAACTGCAAGAGGCTGGAGAGATGAGCTGTCAGTTAGGCACTCTAAAGCTGATCGTGAGTCACTTAGTATTATTGCTTTCTTTAATTTACTGATCTTGCACATCATGTTAAGTGCTTTAAGAATCGCGGTAAGTTCAGCCTGATAGACACTGCAGTAACTTTCTAACCTAAATGTTGATTTGAGTATTTCTTTCCCCTCTCTCCACACACTGACAGCGCCACCTACTTTGTCTTCTAACTTACTGCCGTCCGTGTATATTCTCGGCTTAAGGCCGTCGATTGCGTTTTCTTCTTCTTGTGTAACTAACATCTTGAAAGATACACGGTACCTTTCAGCGGGATGGGGTAAACAGAATGGGCTTACTGGTTTTTCTATGGTTCTCCCTGGTAGTTGTGTTAGTGGCTTTCCTCGCTTGATTTCATAGAGTGAAAGGTGTTCCAATGCTCTTAAGTCAAGGGGTTCCAATGCTCTTAAGTGAGGGGTGGGTTTGGGCTTCTGGGCCTGGCGAGGAGGCACTGGCCGTGAGGCGGCCGTGCTGGCTATCGCCGGGAGCTTAACCCATGCGTTGGGCTTAGGTGCTGAAGGCACCGGAAGGCTAAGGCCTTGCCCGGAAGTCCCTTTAACGGGGGCGGGCTTGACTGTAGCCTGAGCGGGCGCGGATTGCGGCACCGAGATTGGTCTGGGGACGGGCGACCTATTGGGGTTGCCCGCGCACGTCCGCGCCGGATTGCTCCTCCATTCTGCTTCCTACGCGGCGCTTTGGAACACCCGCGATAGCTCGCTGGGTGTCCCTCTTCGCCGCACAGAACACAGCTTGGAGGGCCCTCCGTCTCGGGCGTTCTGGGGCACTCGGTAGTGCCATGATCGCCTAGGCACTTGACGCACCTAGGCCGGGCGAAACAATTCCTGGCCGAGTGGCCGTATAATTGGCATCGGTGGCATTGGCCAACGATGCCCCTATTACGCAGGGACTCTACAACAATCCCCGTGAGATTGCATATCCTAGTGATGCTGTATATATCTTTGCCCTCTGGAGAAAGGTCCAGTATTACAAGACAAAGATCGAGGTAGCGTTTTTTGTCAGTTGGGTGGTGCATCCTGTGCACTTCTCTGACAGGCAGGTTTTGCGATTTAAGATCGCTTAGTATGAACTCTGTTTCTAGCTCCTTAGGGAGTCCGCGAACTACAACACGGAGGTTACGGTCCTCCGCGAGAGAGTATGTGTGAAAGCTCAGATTCTGAGCTTTTAAATGCGCAGTTAAAGCGCGGAAATCGCCCGTCGTTGCGACGTGGATACGGATGCCCTGTGGTCCATTGTGGACTTTGGGGCAGAATATCTTTTTGGAGTCTATCCACTTGGATAGGTTGTTCCAGCGCGATTTGTCCTGTAAGATTATAGGTGGCGGCGGCTTCTCCTTCCTAGGTACGGCCTGAGTCGGGTTCGCGGTTTTGATCGCGGTAATTTTGCGCGCGGAAGGCGCGACTTTTTTAGCCGGAGTGGCGTTGAGCGACGTAGGGACCGAATGAGGCTCGTTTCCCTTTTTCGCGGCGGTGCGCTTACGCTTTTTACCCGAGACTAGGGTGAAGTCTTCGTCTTCGGGTTTTTCGGGTCGGCGAATCTCTATATCCATCTCGGAGCCTGATTCGGCGTCCGAAAACAACGGTGATGGACCGCGGGTGGAGAGCGCAGAAGGCGCGGGGGACGCGGCGTCCTAGACTGTGTCGATGGACACAGAGGTCGAGCGGCCGGTGCTCGGTGAAATAGGATCGTCGATACGTACAACGGGGCGTTCAGCAATAGATACTTTGCGTTGGGCTTGGAATTTAGCCCAAGCGTCGGGGCACACTTGTCCGAAGAAGTCGGCGAGTTCGGCTATAGTAATAGCCGCCATCTTGTCAGTGGTTTAAAACACTTATGTATCAAGCCCCCCACCTTTCGGCGGGGGGGGGGGGTGTGCCTAAACGAACACTTATACAACTAGCACGTTGGTACGCTAGAATGTGTACCTAGCTGTCGCCTAATGCGACAAGCGAACACAGAAATTAAAAATAGAATCGCTGCCTCTGAGGCAGCGGATAATGCAATAAACTACTTACAGTTTTTACTGGAAATCCGGAGAACATGGGGCACTAACACTAGCACTACAAACAATAGGACAATGGGCCGGCGGCCCGATGTACCTGGCGGCCGTAAAGGAGCACAACGACACCGAAGCACTCGCGCACTGTTATGAACCGATGTACAAGGTAGTAATTGTTGTTGTAAGCATTATGTAAAGTATATAAAAGTGATTTTTCATATAATTTAAGCAGTCAAACTCTAACCTCTGTTCGGTACACAACTTTGTTATAGTTTATAATATTCCGAAGTGTAAATTAAATTAAATTAGTTTTGCAGCAGTAAAGGTGTCTTTTTTTAAAAAGGACCCCAGGCGAGCCATCCTAACAATTTTGGTGTCAGAAGTGGGATATCCTGGGAAAGCAATTAAAGTACTGGGATTCCTAGGTGTTAGGCGCGTCGCGACAAGGAATTCCCGCCCTAATACTTATTTGGCTCCGTGAACCCCAGCGTTCATCACCACGGTGCTTGGGTAAGGCGCCAGCTGTCGACGGTAAGTCTTGGGTACATGTATCTAAGCCCGCACAGTTGCACCTGTGGTCGACGATAAGACTCCGCTATTAAGCGCGAGCCCGCACCGCATCATTCGGAAACTCCTGCTGCTCCATCGTGGTCGACGATAAGTCTCCACTTTCGAGTGTGAGCCCGCATCACAACCCAGTGCACTATCGGATCACCGGACAGTTTGACTCGCCACCAACATCAGACCTTGCATCATCACCATCATCACCACGTGTAAGATCTCTTCACGGACAACGCAACGTGACTTCGAGGTAGCGTCGTAATTTAAAACTTCCTGAGTCGTCGAATAGGTACTGAAGCCACCGCTGCAATTGACGTCATCGCTGCAGTGTCGAATTAACTGACACGTTTTGAAAACCAAGATGTTCGTGAGAATCTACATTTTGTGAGTAATTTTTATAATATAAAATTAAAATTTTCTAAAGTTATTAATTAAAGTGAAACAAGTGAAAGTGATTTAATCTAAAAAGTAATTAATTATAAAAGATTGATTTTAACATTAAGCCATTGTATTTTAATATTTATTTGTTTAACATATTTTGTTGTGTTCTGATGATCTGTACTGTATTTTAAAAATATTACCTATTAATTAATGTTCTCTAAAAAAGGTAAAACCTGAAGAAGTTAAAATTTCGAACTCTGACTCCTCAGATAGTTCACTGTCGGTTTCAAATCCAACACGAAAAAATATTAAATTAAAAATGTCCGAAAAAATCACCCTTTCAGTCCTTATCAAATTCGTTAAGCCCTACAATGGAGATCGCGAGTCTTTGCCAGCATTCCTTACGAATTGCGAAAATGCAATTTCATTGGCAAGTACAGATTAACAGAATGTTTTGTTTAAATATATTGTGTCCCAACTTGAAGGAAAAGCACAATTAGCTTGTTGCTTAAAGAAATTCAGTAGTTGGCCTGAATTAAAACAATTTCTTAAGTCAACATTCGGAGAGAAAAAACATTCAACGCACTTACTTGTAGACCTACAAAATTGTAAACAGTTGCCCTCTGAAGATGTGACACAGTATTCATTAAGGATTGAATCGTGCCTTACGCGGATCCAATCCGACATTCACTACAGCTGTGAGGATGAAAAAGAACTTTTGGGTAGACTTGCAGCAATGGAAGATTTAGCCTTAAATACTTTCTTATTGGGCATGAATTCTAGTTATTCACATATTGTACGCTGTAGGAACCCTCGAACTCTATCCGAAGCGATTACGCATGCTATCGAGGAAGAAAAGTTATTTAAATTAAGTAAATTATCGCTGCGCTCATCTAAATCGTGCTCAATTTGCCACAAACTCGGACACACTCCTTCCGAGTGCTACAAAAATAAATCAAAGGTTTCCTATCCTAACCTCCACCACCTTAAATCTAATTCTAATTCATTGCATAATAAAAATTCAAATAACGTAAATAATCACTATAATAAACCTCATTCAAATTTTTATCCCAATAAAATATGTGCATATTGCAAAAAGAAAGGCCATTTAATAAGTGAGTGTCGCAAACTCAAGTTTAAAACCAATAATATGCGCACCGATGAGTGTACTGCACTATCAAGTACACGAGTACCGAGCACTAGTAATGTGCCGGACAATAATCACTCTAATGTACACGTTGTTTGCGCCTCTGAAAATAACAACGATAATTTAAACTAAACAGGGTTTCGGTGCCGTGTCTGCCGAAACGTAATATTAATTTAAATGACACGAAAACAATTAATCTCTCTAAATCCCGTGTTCCTAAATTATCTTATAAAACACGGATGCCAAAAAATATTAATGAACATTTTTTAAATTCTACATCCAAAAAGTCTTCAATGGAGTCTCAAGGTCGCACCTGTGGTCAATTCTCGGTTGCACAGGATTCTAATTTTAATGCACCTTCATCAGAATTAACATGCTCCACTTCAAATAAAAGACTCGATTCCTGTGTTCCTAAGTTGTTTTCAACACAGGGTAATAAAAAATCAGAGACTCAAAGGAATAAAAATAATGTCTCAATTTCTAATAACATTTGCAATAAAAAATTGAATGGTTGCCAACGTGACGTCATAAATTGTGAAAAATCTACGTCACTCTCTAGGGTTGGTACACGCGAGAAAACGCATACAATAAATAATATTAATAATAATATTTCTCTGCCTCACGTTATGTTAAAGACTAATTTTAATGAAAAGCCCCTATGTTTTCTTATCGATACTGGTTCTTCGATTTCTATTGTGAAATATTCTAGTTTATTAAATCAACCAGTTCTAGGGACTGATATAATTACAATGAAAGGTCTCAGTGATAATGACTCCACTTGTACATCTCTTGGGTCTATTAAGTTGATTTTGAATACCAGATTTCTTCTAAGAGTAAGATAGTATTTAGTTTTTTGTTTCATGCAATTGACGACACTATTAGTTTACAATACGATGGTATTATAGGTAGTGATTTTATACAACATTTTAACGTAGATATACAGTACTCTATTAGTTCTCTTAATTTACAAGGTCATGCAATACCCTTTTATTTTAGTAAGCCATTATACGTTATACCTCCACGGTCGGAGATGGTAATTGAGTGCCAAGTAGCCAACTTATTAGAAATAGGTGATTGTAAAGAAGCCTTAGTATTAGATCAGAAAGTTTGCGAAGGCGTATTTTTAGCTAATTGTATTG